ATTTGAGACTCCATCCTAAGACCAGCATCCATCTTGACCCCTAAATTTGTAACAACTGGCCTGACATACTGAGCCAAAGAGCAATCAACAGGCAGAGAGTCTTCATTCGAGCTGCCAAAAATCACTACCTCTGTCTTGTCTTCATTTAATTTCAAGAAATTAAGATGGCAAATGTCAGTATTTTATTTGTGATATAACATAGATGACAGATCAAAAGTTTAATCTGAGTAAATGTAACATTTTAAAGGAAAAGTATGTTGATTCAAAATTTCACAGTGTCAACAAATCCCAAAAAAGTTGGGACAAGTAGCGATAAGTGGCTGGAAAAAGGAAATTGAGCATATAACGAAGAGCTGGAAGACCAATTAACACTAATTAGGTCAATTGACAACATGATTGGGTATAAAAAGAGCTTCTCAGAGTGTCAGTGTCTCTCAGAAGCCAAGATGGTAAGAGGATCACCAATTCCACCATTGTTGCGCAGAAAGATAGTGCAGCAATACCAGAATGGTGTTACCCAGCGTAAAATAGCAAAGACTTTTAAATTATCATCATCAACCATGCATAACATCATCAAAACATTCAGAGAATCTGGAACAATCGCTGTGCATAAAGGTCAAGGCCGTAAAACTCTACTGGATGCTTGTGATCTCTGGGCCCTTAAACATCCCTGCACCTCAAACAGGAATGCCACTGTCAAGGAAATAACAGAATGGGCTCAGGAATACTTCCAGAAAGCATTGTCAGTGAACACAATCCACCGTGCCATCTGCCGTTGCCAGCTGAAACTCTACAGTGCAAAGAGAAAGCCATTTCTAAGCAAGCTCCACAACCTCAGACGTTTGCACTGGGCCAGGGGTCATTTAAAGAGGAGTGTGACAAAATGGAAGACTGTTCTGTGGTCAGATGAGTCATAATTTGAAGTTCTTTATGGAACACTGGGACGCCATGTCATCCGGACCAGAGAGGACAAGGATAGCCCAAGTTGTTATCAACCTTCCGTTCAGAAGCCTGCATCATTGATGGTATGGGGTTGCATGAGCGCTTGTGGCATGGGCAGCTTGCATGTCTGGAAAGGCACCATTAATGCAGAGAACTATGTTCAGGTTCTAGAACAACATATGCTCCCATCTAGATGTCATCTCTTTCAGGGAAGACCCTGCATTTTTCAACACGATAATGCCAGACCACATTCTGCAGCAATCACAACATCATGGCTACGTAGGAGAAGGATCCGGGTACTGAAATGGCCAGTCTGCAGTCCAGATCTTTTACCTATAGAGAACATTTGGCGCATCATAAAGAGGAAGGTGCGACAAAGAAGGCCCAAGGCGATTGAACATTTAGAGGCCTGTATTAGACATGAATGGGAGAGCATTCCTATTTCTAAACTTGAGAAACTGGTCTCCTCTGTCCCCAGACATCTGTTGAGTGTTGTAAGAAGAAGGGGGATACCACACAGTGGTAAAAATGGGCTTGTCCCAACTTTTTTGGGATTTGTTCCATCCATCCATCCATTATCTTTACCCTCTTATTCCATTTTGGGTCACGGGCGTCGCTGGTGCCCATGTCCAGCAATCACTGTGCGAGGGGCGGGGTACACCCTGGACGGGTCGCAAGTCCATCACAGGGCCACATAGAGACAAACGAGACAAACAACCATTCACTCTCTCACTCACACCTAGGGACAATTTAGAGTTACCAATCAGCCTAACATGCATGTTTTTGGTCTGTGGGAGGAAACCGGAGTACCCGGAGAAAACCCACGCATGCACGGAGAGAACATGCACACTCCACCCAGAAAGACCCCTGGACCGGGGTTTGAACCAGGGATTTACTCGCTGAGAGGCAGCAGCTCTACCAGTTGCGCCACCGTGCTGCCCTTTTGGGATTTGTTGACGCCATGAAATTTGGAAAAAACAGATTTTTCCCTTAAAATGATACATTCTCTCAGTTTAAACTTTTGCTCTGTGATTTGTGTTCTATTCTGAATAAAATATTAGATGTTGGCACCTCCACATCATTGCATTCAGTTTTTATTCACAGTTTGTTTAGTGTCCCAACTTTTTTGGAATCCGGTTTGTATATATATATAATGTTATATATCTTCTACTGCTTATCAATAGTCTGATCGTGGAGGCAACAGATCCAGAGGAGAAACCCAGACATCCCTCACCGCAGGAACACTTTCTGGCTCGTTCTGGGGATTTCAAGGCATTCTCAGGCCAGAGAAGATGCACAGATACACAATACCTCCAGCAACTTCTGGGTCTTCCTGGGGCCTTCTGGTTGTGGGATGTGCCAGGAAAACTTTTAAAGGAAAATGTCCAGGATGTATACTAATCAGATTCTCAAAACACCTCAACTGACTCCTTTCAATGCAGAGGAGCAAGAGCCCTATTCTGAGCTCCCTCCAGATAACAAAGCTCCTCACAATATCTCTAAGGCTGAGCCAAGGACCCTGAGAAGGAAGTCCATTTCAGCCGATTGTTTCCTGGATCTCGTTCTTTCGGTCATTATCAAAACCTCATGATCATAGGTGAGGGTTAGAACATAGACAGACCAGAAAATCGAGAGCTTTGCCTTTGACTCAGCTCTGTATTCACCATGGTGAAGCAATACCCTCATTACTGAGGACCAGGTCCCAATCCATCAAGCTATCTCCCGCTCCATCCTAACATCACTAGTGAACAAGACGCCCAGCTACTTGAACTCTGCCACCAAAGTCTGGTTTGGCAGAACTTAGAGGCTAATCAAAAGTTTTTCTTCATGGCCTCCCCAAATTCTCTTGTGTCTGAATTTTGCATTTGCAAAATTTGTCTTTCTGGCCATCCTGTACCTGTCGGCTGCTTCAAGAGTCCTCCTGGACTCAATAACCTCCATCACTGCTGGTGTTCGCCAGCAGGTCCTTTGGTTGCTGCCACAACAGGCATCACAAGATGTTCCCAGTTCACCCTCTATATGCATTTGGGTAAGGTCTGTCCAGCAGCTGCCCTGCCACCGAATCCAACTCACCACCAGGTGGTGATCAGTTGACATGTCTGCCCCACTCTTCACCTGAGTGTCCAAGACATAGGGTTCCAGTTCCGATTGTACAGTTACAAAATTGATCTTCGACCTTTGGCCCAAGGTGGCCTGGTACCAAGTACACTTATGAACCACTTTATGTTCAAACATGGTGTCTGTTATGGACAACCCATGTCTATTGCAGAAGTTCAAATGGCAACTACCATTTGGGTTCAGATAGGGAGACTGTTCCTTCCAATCACCCCCTTCCAGATGACTGTCATTGCCCACATGGACATTGAAGTCACCCAGTAGAACAAGGGAATCCCCAGCCGGGACCCCTTCCATGACACCATCAGGGACTCCAGAAAGGCCAGATAATCTTAACTGATGTTTGGTGCATAAGCACAAACAGCAGTCTGAGCCTTCTTTCCTGCAGCCCAAAGCCACAGAGAGACAACCCTCTCGTTCACCAGAGCCAACATAGCCGGGGTTTAGAGTATCTCCACACCCTCCCTAGTCAACTCTCAAGGAGTTGGGTTCCAGAGCACAAGCTGAATGTAGAGGTGAGCCCAACTACTGTATATCTAGTTGGTACTGCTCAACCTCACACACAAGCTCCAACTCCTTACCCACCAGTGTGAAGATGTTCTACATTCCTAGAGTTCATCTATGCCACCAGGGATTGGCATAGCCAGAAATCGTCTCTCATCTGCTGCCCAGCATGCACATCACCCTACGGACCTCCTCACAAGTGGTGGATCCACGTATAGGTGGGTGGCTTCCTGTCATTTCTTCAAGCTTGGCCCAGCCGAGCCAAGGCTCAATCACCAGGTGTTCACGAATGCCTCCCAGGTCTAGCTTCAGCGGTGCCCTGGTTTCCCTTTTCCAAGTGAGGTTTCCTGATGTGATAGTTCTTTTTCCAGGTTTTGAATCAACATACTTGACCAGGTATATTGCTTTTAGTTGAAAATCCTTAAATGCATGGCAGTCTGCGACTCGTTTGACATTAATGAGATGGTAATAAATGAAAAATATCCATTATAATCTCCATCCTGGTAGATTATCTTCATAAATGGAAACACAAAATGGCAGTTCAACTAACAAATAAGCAGAGACATTAAAAATTTTGAAGTGACTTTATTGGTCATGAGACTTGTGTAGTACTCACATAAGAGCCCTTACACCCAGTCCACTCATTCAAAAACTACATAAATATAAATAAAGAATAAAATAAAAAGTCTTACAAAAACACTTCAAGTATATCAAGCAGACGTTAACATTTTTTTTACTGAGAGAAATAAGCTTTTCCTTGACACATTCCACCCATTACAAAAAAAAAAAAAAAAAAACACTCCCATGAGAATCAAGTCATGTCTTCATTTCAGGTTTACTCTATGTACATTAACATTTACAAAGATATTATCAACAGCACGCAGTGTAACAAAAATATAGATGCTTCATTTTGTGCATAGCAGTCAATGACAGCAAAATAGTAAATATTTCCCTTTAACAAAGAGAACTGTACGCACTGTGGCACTGAAACTAAACAAAATAAAAGATAAATATGGAAATGATATGTAGAGTGTATTAGGTGAAATGTTACGTTTCTCCTCAAGAGTTAAGTTAGGAGAAACTGCAAGAAAAGCTCTGGCTCCAAGCACTACAGGCACTCTATGGCAAGAAACATTGCCAAGACGAGACAAAGTTAGTGGAGAGAAAAAATAAAATAAAATACAAAAAAAAAAAAAATCACTGTGCAAAATATTGCTTGTTTGGAGCTTGTTAACGTACAAAGAAATCATGACATTAACAATATAAACTAAATAAATCTTAATTAAGCCATACAGTCATGATAAAAAAAAAAAAAAAAAAAAAAAAAAAAAAAAAAAAAGTCTGGATCTAAAATAAATAAACCAAAGAAAACATTTACCCTAAAGAGGCATTTGAATTGTCACAAAAAATAAAAATCATCAATTAATGAATCCCAGGGTTCAAAAGTTCCAAACATCCTGACATCAAGACAAAGTTAAGAGTCTTGCTCTGATATTACGTTAAAAAGCACAGTGGCGTGTCTGTGATGCAGATATTTTACGGTCAGAAATGTTGCCTCTCGTTTCATTTTATATTCGGTTCATCGCCTCAAGAGTTGTTGGTCCATCCTCTAATAGGACTGCAGGAGGCCCTGGCAACCACACGAGCTCCTCAAGTTCTGAAAGAAAAAACAAAAATGAGGGTTAGGCTCCTTTGGGACCCCATCCTCCAACAAATAAAGCTGACCAACTTCTTTCAAGAAATGTTTAGAGGGCATGAAAACTTTAAATTTTAGGGCGTGTGAACTAAATGGTTGAAACTGACAGAAAACACCCTGAAGGGGTTTCTTTCTAATGGGTCTGCAGAACGAGCTCAAACCGGCCAGTTCTGCTCTGATCTTTGTTTATCACCTGGAATGAAAATCAACTTGTTGCTTTCAGCTCCTCCCCCCAACAAAAAGTCAATTAAATTCACATTTGAGTGAATCAAGCGTTTAATGCATTTAATCTAGCAGGGGTTGGTTTGGCATGTTCCATTTGTGGCGCTGCTAAATACAAGTCTGCAGCCTAAATAAGTTATAAATCCTTTTAACTTCTTTGTTGCCTCTGCAGGGACAACTATATCCCTGGCCTTCGACACCATCCGTGATGTTGACTTTTAATGATTTTAATAAAGTCTTTATCGTCTGTTTTATTACGTGCACAGCACTTTGGTCCTGTAGGTGTTTAAAGCATTCTATAGATAAAGCTGGTATGGGAACTATGAAGCAAATGTGAAAGTGTTGAGAGAAACCACCGTTAGATAATGGATGGTGCATCTCAACACAGACCACAAACAGGATAGTCAGCATGAATAAGCAGAGAGTAGTGACAACAGAGAAGAATCAGAAGAATGTGATACTAGGTCTGGAGTCCACCCACAACAAGTATGCTCACTTCCCTTTTCCCCATTACATCCTTCCCCATGAGTCAACTCTGGCTTTACTAAAAAACAACAACTAAAATAAATAATTATGTAGTACTACTACTGGTATGTAGTATTGTAAAAGTCCAGCAAAAAAAAATGCTAAAGGCCACAAGAACAGAATGGAAGGAAGACACCGACAGCAAGGCAGCCAAACAGATCATCAGTCTATACCAGGGGTGTCCAAACGTTTTCAGCATGGAGCTACTTTTAAAATGTCCAAGTCAAAGTGACCTACCTATAAGACCCTGTTTACATGAGAACAACCTCTGGAAACAGTTTTTTTTCCCCTCAGTGTTTATTGGGGGTAATGAATAAAAAATTAGCTGGTTTACACAAAAAAAACGCTGTGGTTTCCATGTCAGTCGGGTTGCCAGATAAGAAATTACAGCGGCTTTAAAATGACAGTATTTTGACCTAAACTGTCATATGTGCTGAGTAAAGATACTCGAAGTTGAGGTGTGTTGTGTTTGTTGAACATGTGCACAGGAGAGGAGGGGGGTAAAGAAGACATTTTAAAATTTATCTGGCAACCCTGATCAGCTGCATTCGTCGCTCAGTTACTTCCAAACTGGTGAACGCACCAACGTCTCTTTGGAGCCTGGATTTTATTAGTTTTTCTCCTACATGCTGAAAAAGTGTGTGAGCAGCACAAAAACCCACTCTGCTCTCTGACGTTTATTAAAAACTGCTGTTGTGTATCAAACGTTCACTTTTTAAGTCTATACCAAACCGCCCAAACCCTGTTTTGGGACTCACCGGTCCAGTCAGAGTGAGGGGAATGTGCTGGGTGCTGCAGAGGGCCAGCGACGCCACGGAGTTTGGCAGCTCCTGGATCGGAGCTTCGTCCAGGTTTTCAATTCGAGGCTTCTTGATGTACGACTCTGGGCTGGTCAGTGGAGTCACACTGTTTCTCCTGATCAGAATACCAGGACCTCTCTTGACCTCCTGCAGGATGTGAAACGATTTAAAGACTTTAGACTTGGAAGCTAAACCCAGGTTAGCTTCAGGTACGTTTTCTGACAGATGTAGGAAGTAGCTGAAGTCCACTAACCTCAGGTCGGTCTCTGTGGGTGTTCACTGCCTCCACGTTCAAGGAGATGGACTCTACCTTGCACCCGTAGGCCACAGGGGTGAGCTTCAGCACCGTGTGGAGGGGACACTTCAGGTAGGGCATCTCATCTGGATCAACAGACAAATGGTGTTGCAGTTTAGCTCACAACTTCAATGCAGACACTTCAGATGCAAGGGCTTGTGGGAGTTGTAGTACCCACCTGCACTTTTGTCTAAAAAGTACGCAAGCAGGCAGCGCATGACAGCCTGGTGACACACGACCAAGACGTTCTCCTGTCTCTCTAGCTCCATGATAATAGGCTCCACCCGCTGGACCAGGTCCTGGTAGGACTGTAATCAGGAATCAGTTTTAGTTATTGCAGACACAGATGATGGTAGTGGATGACTCCATGCTGCTCCTGTACCTCTCCAGCTGGGTAGCGGTAGTAGTATTTATCCTCGTCTCGAAGTGCAAACTCTTCAGGGAACTTCTCCTTCACTTCGTCGTACGTCATCTCCTCACACAGCCCCTAAAAATAAATCAGTTGAGTGCGTCAGATTGGGGACGAGTGGTGCGATGTGGGCCGTTTTTGAATGACACTCACAGCATCGAGCTCATTGAGAGCCTTCCACTGCTCGTACGGGACTCTCAGGTGCTCGGCGGTCTGGATGCAGCGGCGCAGCTGGCTGGTCCAGACTTTCAGGTCCTTCAGCTGCTGCTCCTCCACAAACCGAGCCAGGGCGGATGAAAACTACAGCGAGCGGGGGGGGTGGGGAGTGTTCAGCATTCAATATTTATATGTAAGGAAAAGCCCAGAACTTTCTCGTATTCTGCAGTTTGTCTTCGTTACCTGCCGACCGCGCAGCGAGAGGCCCGAGTCGCCGCCCAGCCGCCCCTCCAGGTTGTCTGTGCTCTCCCCGTGTCGACACAGGTAGATGGTGCGCGGCTGGACATGAATGTTCATCAAGTAGTAGACGATTTTACTCTGAATGTGATCCTGGATCTGGTTGACAAGGAAGCGGCGGCCCACGTCTATGACCTTGATGAAGGAGAGGTCCCTGGAGGAGGAAGGAACAGATTGGTTTGTCTGAAGGTTTGTTTTGGGTACAGAAAATAATGAAGGTTGAGGTTTACCTGTCGTGCTGATCTGGGTCCAGAGGTTCGTAGCTAGTTTTGTAGCATTCGATCCTCTTTTGGAAATCTGTCATGGCGTCAGTCTTGTTGCAGTCGCGGTAGTCTGGACAGGACACCTTCACTTCCTGTGCAAGGAGAAAAACGGTCAGATGGAAGTAGGAAAGAAAACAAAACAAAAAAAAAAAAAACGAAACGAGACTTATTCTCATGACTCACCATGATGTTCGACGCAATGACGTTTGGATCGTCGCACACGGACTCGATGAAGAATATCTGAACAGAAAGAGGTCTTTGTTTAAACGTCTTGCAGTGTATTGCAGCTGCTCCGTTGCCATAGCAACACATACCTTGAAACCGTTCTCTTTGCCAAACTTGAGGATCAACTCTCGCCTCTCTCTCGTCGTGTTGGTAGCATCAAACACCTGAAAGAAACAAAATCGAGACGGTTCAGTCTCAGTATGAAAGAAAAAGCGCCCAACCAGGGATGCACAATAATCAGATTTTTGGCCGATATCCGATACCGATATTTTTTCTCTATAGACCTACTTACAAAGACTACATACTGTAGCTTTCTCTACTGTGGAATTAAGCCACTACATTATAATAATCTATACATATATAAAAAATAATAAAATAAAATAAAAAACAGCACCTTTTATAATCTGAGTTATTTTGATGGAATGGCCGATATTCAACTTTATCGCCAATATTGGCCGATACCATGCCGATAATTTCGTGCATCCTTACGCCCAACCTAAAATGAACGGGGAAACTCACTGCTAATTGGCCTCCTTCATCCTTCAAGTAGGACTTGACATCTCTCAGCGCTGCTAAAGCACACTGCCTGGATAACAAAAACACAAAATGTGAATAAAGTCCAACAAAAAATAATAATTAAAAAAAAAAAAAAAAAAAATCACTATCTGCCATTTGTGAGGAAGTGGACTTACTGCCTGATTTTGAAAGCGGACTCGTTATCGGGGTTGAAGAAGTCGTAGGAGCTGTAGTTCTTGACGGCCTCCCGGCGGTACTCCCCGACATTGAAAACTATGAACACAAACAAACATGAGAAGAGCGCCGTGTCCTGGAGGTAGAAACACGAGTCGACGCGGCCTGGTAAGCTACTTAAGGCTCATCTTGTTGTGCAAGTGACACTTCTGAGCACTTGAACTCAAGTCCTGCTTACCTTTGGTGGGTATGCCGGTCCAGTTGAGGTAGCGGGTGAGTTTTTTGGATATGTACGTCTTGCCCCGAGCCGGCAGACCCACCATCACAATGACGGTGGGAGGGTTGGCTAAATGAGGGGCGCCAGTAGCTGCAGAGAGGAAGCACATCATGGTTTATCACTAATCTAGAATTTCAACAAAGAATCTATCCACATGACCCGACTTAACTTTTATGTGACCAATCTATAATTTCAATTAGTCTCCAGGGCACGACAACCAAAATGTAGCTGCCACCTGATTCACCTTTTACTTTCACCTCGCTGCACAGTCGACCCACTTTTGTGAGCCACTATGCGAGCCGGGACAAATCCCTCAGGCTTGTGGAAACGTTTTTTCCATGTCATGCGTCTCTGTAGTCAGACGCGCAAACGACGATTAAATTGATCCACATCAGCAATGAGGAAACGATAGCACAAAAAATGTGCAATATTTTGGGCAGATTGTTTAAAAATAAATTGTCTTCCTATTTTACAATTCGCATTTATTCCCTCCAGTCACTGTTTGTTGGTGTCAACAGGGAACGTTCATGTTCTGATGACCCCCCCGAGAGATCCAGTTTGTACTCGCAGTGCTCTGCTAATCAGTTTGTACTACACAAGAAATGCCATAATGCACAAAACTGAAAGACACTCGAAGGATTTGTCTTTAAACCTAAATAAAAATCTGATTTGGTTTTCCATTTTTTATTTTATTTAGATTAAAGAAATGTGTCCTTATCAATAAAAGGTGAAATGCATCCAGCGTTTTATTTGTTCTTCTTTACGTGTACGGTTTCAGTTTAATTTTACCATTTTATGCGTAGCCCTAAAAACAAAAGTAGCAATGTGCAACATAATTGCTCATTTTGGGCTACTAATTGCATCATTTGTCATTTTATTGTCTAAAACGGGAGCCAAAACATTTCCGTACCTCTTGAACAAGCTACAACAACTAATATTCCCTTTAAAGATTTTCAGTGACATTAAACGTGATTTTCTTTTTCCCCTTTTCATTTTTTTTTAATATTCGATATGAAGCAGCAACGGCGTGACGTCACTCCGTTTGTACGTAAAGCGCAGCCGACCAATCAAAAACCACCTCAGGCGTCACGTTCCGGAATAGAGGTAGGAGGGGGATTAACGGTAGCCATGGTGACGTAGCGCGTGTGCGGATCAGTCCGCCAATGCTAGGAAATTAAAATGCCGGTGTAGCTAAACTCAGCAGGTGCTAAGAGGATTTTTTTCTTCTTCTTTTTGACTTTAACACGTTATTCCGGCAACAGCAGCGATTTAACAAACATTACGTTACATTAAAATACATCGTTATACTAAAAAACTAAGGAGTTAGGCAGCCAAAGAGCTGTAGGTAATCAAAGAGTGATGCACAAGATAAATATATTCTCTACCTTTTCGCCTTTCATCCTTGGTGGGAACCCAGATCTTTTGGATTCTGTTCTGGGTCAGCTCTCTTGGCATTCCTTAGTTAGAAGCTTTAATAAAAAGAAGCAAACCGTGCAGCGGAACTGACTCGTTCACAGATTCCGAGCTTAGTTCAAAGCTTCTCTTTTCCGCCCTTTTTAATAAAAAAAACCAGCCGATGCTTCGTCCTCTCGTCGTTCGCTCCGCAGCGTCTCTTCGACCTCGTTGAACCGAACTAATCTGCCGGCTCTGCGGCTCACATCCGCTTTTTAAACCACGCCTGACCGGCTCGAGGGCAACGTGACTGCGCAGCGTCAAACTCATTCACGCATGCGCAAAGACCAGGAGCTGCTACAGCGCCGCCTGGTGGTGAACTATATTAATAATTTTAGCATCGTTTTAAACGAAAGCTCTTTTTTTTTTTTTATCACAAGCGAAAATTAACGAGTCGCTACATTACTTTTAGTAATTGAATAAAACCTATAAATTTACTGTTTGTAAGTTTATTTTATTGTTATTAATTTGATGTATAATATGCTGGAATCGTTTTCTCCTTTTATTTTCCAAAGTTGATTTTTGTGCTTTAGATTTTTTATTTAAAGCGCCCCCTTTTATTTATGAGATCAGTGTTAATTATTATCTCTATTATGATTGAATAAAAACATTTGTTGCTTAATTTAAAAAGCCTTTTTTTTGTGTGTGAGATAACTGTTTTCTGAAAAGATTTAACGATAAAACGCAACATTTCAGACCCACTTGAATAATTCCACTTTACATGGATGAAGTTTTTTGCACACTACCTGCCTGCAGACTGCGCAGCCCGGACCTACGTGCACAGACGCACGTCAGCGCATCTTTGCAGACTGGGCTGCACCACTGACTCATTCTGGGTATAATGACACATTTAACGATTTGCTGCCAATTTTATAGCGCACTTTGATGAAACGCAGTCATTTTAGTGCATAATAGTCACTTTATATAAAGAGAATGACAGGGGAAGAACCATAAAAAAAAAAAAAACGTTTTGATTTGGCTTTAAATAAATGTTCACCACCTGTGGCATGAGAAAGTTTATTTATAACAGTTATTATCCAGACAGGCTCAGACATTCTTCTTTGTCTATAATTGTTCTTTTATTAGAGTCACGTTTTTGTGCATGCACCAGCATCCAGGCTGCAAATGGAGAGGTCAGATGAGGACACAGCTTATAATCCTCTAGTTCTTCCACCATTTCCTCAACATGGACTTTCACGCCTAACCTTTACCCTGAAGCCAGGATCCTTGATGACACGGATGCCCTATCAGCTAAAAGAGTCTGGATGTGAGTGACGAAGTCCTTGTCCTTTGACCAGCTGGACAAAGAGAAGCTGACTCAGAAAAGACAACAAAGCTGATGTTTTAGTCACAGCTGCAAGAGGAAAAAGTCCTCCTCTCCACACCTAAACACCCACACTGCCACTCAAAAGGTTTATTACCTGCACTGACAAACACTTTTTAAATGGCCATTTGTTCTTGAGACATTTGACAGGTTTTGGTTGATCAATAACACACAAAACATATTTTCCCCAGTGCTTTTTAAGCACTGAAGTCGTCAGACTGGATAAAGTTTGTGAAGGAATTTCTCAGACATGCCTGGATTCAGGGAAAGAGAGAGATAAGAAAGTTATGCACGGATCCTCGTTTGTTTGGACTTTTCAAATCAATGGGATGGAAATGGATCTCGATTCTTGAGGTGACGGTGGCGATCAATGACCCTTCAAAGATAACATTGCAAATGGATCTTACTGGAAGCTGTTGGAGAGGAGAGACATAATTGTGGGAAAGCGTTCATCAATAAGTCGTCTCAGGGCACTGAACAGAAACATTCATATATAAAAATAATAATTAAACATGATTTATCTGAGGAGCAGACGGCTTTGAGTTTAACTCCATCGCAGAACTCTCATCTTGAGCGTGAAGGCGACAGTGGAAAGGAAAAACCTCCCTCATGAGGAAGAAACCTTTAGCAGAACCAGCTCAGGACAAGCTGCTCAAACATCCTGCTCTGGTGATCTGGGTGCAGGAAAAACAAACGGAGGAAAGTTCCAGACGCCCGTAACAGCTTTGGGACTATTTTAAGGAAAATCCGAACGTTTTGAACTTGTTGAAAATCCGCGCAACACCAAAGTGAGACTCTTTGTGACCTTGTGCACGTTTCAAAACATTTTGGAAACTCCTTTGCAGTTTGTCACCAAAAATCAAAGCCTACTGAGACACTAAGGAGCAAACTGATGGTGACAGGAAGTGCGGGTGCAGCGGGCGCTGTAGCACCCCTTAACGGATGTCGAGCGTCACTCCTGTCCAAATACACCGTAAAGGATGAAAGTAATAAACAATGAATTTCTTTACTGCTTCGTAGGTTTCATTTAAAAATTATGTTCAGATTTTTTTTCTTCAAGTTTTGTAAATCTAGTAGGTCAAAAGAAACTAGTAATCTTTATGTAAAATATTCTGAAAGTTTAAATGGCACTAAATGTGGGCAGATTAGCATTCAGTTATGATGTCAACTTATAGGTATCCTTTGTCCAAAGTGTACACCAATCTTTTTATTGCATGAATTTCTGTATTCTAATGTTTTTCATTTGGTATTGTTAATAATAACAATAATACTTTATTTATAAAGCCCTTTAAAACAACCACAGCTGCCCCATAGTGATGTACATATAAAATCAAGGACATTTAAACACATAAAACAGTTAAAACATTAGGATGAAAAAAATAATAATTAAAACAGTGCAGAGAAAAATTCAGTGTGTGCTAAAAGCCAGGGAGTAAAAATGTGTTTTTAAAAGAGTTTTAAAACAGTGAAGGAGCTCGTCTGATGGAAGTGGGAGATCGTTCCACAGTCTTGGAGCAGCAACAGAAAAAGCTCTGTCCCCTCTGAGCCTCCG